TTAGGCTCTCAACTTATGATCTTTCCATTTTCTTGATGTGTGCTCATGGAGATATAAATTTCCCTCTTAAAACTGATTTCATAGAATCCAAGAGGTTTTGGTAAGATGTTTCTTCATTTTCATTTGTTTCCAGGAATCTTTCAGCTTCTGCTTTGATTTCAGTGTTGACCTAGTAGTTATTTCAGTATCATGCTATTTAGTGTCCATGTCTTTGTGGGCTTTAGGGAAATGCTGGCATTGATATTGATATTTATTTTTATTCCACTGTGGTCTTAGAATGTGTACAGCAAAATTTCAACCTTATGGAATTTGTTTATGCTTGATTTATGGCCAAGAATGTGATCAATCTTGGAGTATGTTCCATGTGGTGATGAGTAGAATGTATATTCTGTGGTTGTTGGGGGGAATAATCTGCAGGTATCTATTAAGTCCATTTGGTCAAGTGTCAAGTTTAGGTTCTAGATCTCCTTGTTGATTTTTTGCCGATGATCTGTCTAGGCCTGTCAGTGGGGTATTCAAGTCCCCTGCTATAATAGTGTTAGAGTCAATATCTTGTTTTAGTTTACTTAGTAGTTGTTTTATAAATGCTGGTGCTCCTGTGTTGGGTTGTATATGTTTAGGATGAATATTTCTTGTTGATGGATTGAACCTTTTATCATTATGTAGTGTCCTTTTGCACTTTTAAAATTTTGATAGTTTAAAGGTTGTTTTGTCTAATATTAAGATCACAACTCCTGCCTTCTTTTGTGATCCATTTGCCTGGAAACTCATTTTCCCACCTTTAACTTTGAGTCTGTGTTTATCCCTTGAAGTGAGATTAGTTTCCTGGATGCATGAAATAATTAAATCATGTTCTTTTTACCCAGTCTGCCATTCTGTGTCTTTTCAGTGGTGCATTTAGTCCATTCACATTGGGGCTCATTATTGAAATATGATAGTTTATCCCTACATGAGGTTCTTATAAAGCTTTTCCTTTGTTTGCTTGTTTTACTTTGGCTTTTGAGTTAATGTATGTGTGTGTTTTCAAGTTTCTTGTTATGCTGTATTCTCTGCTGATTCTGTGCTCTGTTCTTCTCTTGGAAAGTGTGTGGTCACTCTTTTTCTTCCATCTCCTGTGCTTAATACCTTTTTAAGCATCTCCTGTAGAGCTGGTCTCAAAGCTGCATAATCTCTTAGGGATTGGATGTCTGGGAAGGATTTTAACTCTCCATCACGATGAAGCTGAGCTTGGCTGGATTAGAAATTCTTGGTTTAAATTGTTTATCTTTGAGTACTTTGAATATAGGACTCCAGTCCCTTCTTGCTTGTAGTGTTTCTGCTGATAGGTCTGCTGCCTTTCTGATTAGTTTTCCCTGGTGGGTGGTGTGACCTTTCTCTCTTGTTGCTTTTAGGGTTTTTTTCTTTTGTGTCTGCTTTATGTAAGTAAATTACTATGTGTCTAGAGTTTGGTCTTCTCATTTGATGTCTTGTGGGGGTTCTCTGTATCTCTTGTGCTTGTCTGGTCACATCTCTGGTGAGATGGGAAAAGTTTTCTTGGATTACTTGCTGGAATACTTGCTTCAAATTGTTCTCCATTTCCCTTTCTTCTTCTGGGATACCAACCAGGTATAGGTTTGGCCTCTTGATATAATCACACATCTCTTGTAGGCTTCGTTCTTTCTTTCTGAGTCTTCTTTCTATGTTTTTTACAGATTGGGTTAATTCCATGTTCTGGTCTTCAAGTTCTGAGATTCTTTCTCCAGCTAGATTAACTCTGCTTTCCATGCTTGTCATCTTGTTATTTATTTCCTGGATGAAATTTTTTATTGCCAAAGTCTCTGTTACAAGTTTTTTCAGTGTTGCATCTTGTCTTTCTTGAGTCCTATTCACTCTTTCCAACCATTCCCTAATCCCTATTGTATTCTGGAAACAGACTTTGGTTACTTCCATTGTTTGGGCACCAAGGTCTGATTTTTCAGGAGTTTTTTATTTGGTACGCTTGAAATTGCCTGAGGTCTTTCTTTGGGTTTTCCTCATTTGTGACAGATGTCTTGTTTTTCTCTTTAGTTCTGTTTTTCAGTATCAGTGGCAGAGGCCTTCCCTCCTGATGTTTGCTCAGACCTGTATTCTTCCCTGATCAAGGTCCTGGATTTATTCTATTTTGACATAGAATGGTAGATTGGAAGCTTTGCTGTCTCTTGTAGTTTTCAAAATTCAAATTAAGTGGGAGATGGGGCACTTGGAATCAGATACCACTTGCAAGTTAAAATGTTCACTTATTTTGGTATGTGTTCCCTGAGATTCACCCCCACTACCACTCTATATGACGATGCAAAGCAGAAACCATTGCAAAAGCAATTGAACACATACACACACACTCCAAAACAAACTGGAATAACAACAAAGCAAAACAAAACAATCAGCAACAAAAAGACCCTCAAGACAACTAAACACACACACACATGCCTAGCACAAAGTGAATAGAGAAGAAAAACAGAAAGACTGAAGGAAGAAAAAGGGATTCAGGTTGAACCCTCACACATCTATTGATATTCCCCTTAAACTATAAAAAATGAATATAAAAAAGATCCAGCAGAACAAAAGAACAAAAACCAACAACTACAACAAAATCAAAAGATGAACACTCCAATCATTCACATACACGCAAAAACAAAAAGAAACAGAAAAAAGAAAAATTAAAAAATTTTTTGCGGGGATGCACATCAAACCCTCACATACACATTCATTCACTGAGAAAAAAATCTCAAAAATAGATGAACTAACAAGCAAATAGTCAAATAAATTTTTTAAATTAAAAAATAATTGAAAACCTAGAAAACAAAAACAAAAACAAACAAACAAAAACCCTACCCTCTTGTGACAGACTCTGTAATTATTCCTCTAATCAAGTCTTGACTGCAGAGTCACCTCTTTCACTCAGGAAATGAAGCAGGGAAGGAGGAGGGGCAGTTGAAGTGGGTGGGGCTGCAGGCTTCTCCTCCCACTCTAGTATGATCAAGGAGATCTCAGTTTGGGGAGGTACGGGACTGTCTCATCCCCAGGTATGTACTCTCAATGGGGTGCCATAGCCATTCCTGTCCTGGAATGGAGCTCTCCTATTGCGACTGACATCCAGGCTCTGCCTGGGTTTGTCCCTCTCAGTTGTGGCCCAGCAGTGTGGGTCTAACGTTCAGAGGATTGCTGGGCAGGAGGGGGTTTGGGTCAGCCCTGGACTCACCACTGATCTCTTTGGAGTTCTTCCTCCTCCTTTTCTTTCTTTTTTTTTATTTTCCAAGAGTACATAAAACAAATTTGGAGTTAAATTAAAAATCAGAACAGGGGTACATAAACAAACAAACAAAAAATACTTTTCTGATTATCAATTTTTGAGACTCAAAGCATCCCCCAAAACATTGGAGATCCAGCTTATTCCTGAGAGACATTAACCATCACAAAAGGTTTCGCTCTTTGAACTATTCACATTTTGTTGCAGAAAACAGAACAAAGTTCCACAGACATCCTTCCTCTCTTCTTCCTAAAATGTATTCACAAACAGGGTCTTTCCATAGTTCAAAAGAAAAACAAATAGCTTTCTTTCTTGGCCAATTGTCCTGCTACTCTCACCCTGGGATCTGATCTCTTAATAAGAGGTTTCAGGGCACCAAATTCTACCAGAAATTCCCAGGACACCAGTGGTTACATTACTTGTCTTTTTATGAGGGAATGGATGCTTTAGTCTTTCTAAGAGGGGAGTCACTCTCCAGGGATTACTGTGTCAGTCAAGAGTCCCAGGAGAGTGGGTGAGAAGGGTGAATGCAAAAGGAAAGAGTAAGGGAAAAGCATGAGGCTTTCATGAACAACCCCTAGCAAGGCAGAATGGTCCAGTTTTACAAACCACCCACTACAAGCTCCAAACATGCACACCCAAAACTCAGGGGAGAAGAAAAGAGCTCCTAAGGGACTGGGAGTGACAAAGGATGGTGACACAGAACAGCAGACTTGCTTATGGACATTTCTCACCTTCCTAACACTGGGGAATGTTTACTTACAAAGTTGTGGTTCAAGATTGTATTGAAAACATATCTAAAAATAGGTCTGTAGTCATCTTAAAAATAAAAGGTCACTCCTCAGATAAAAGGGGTGACAGATATTTTTAGATACCAACACTTGAGGTATCTTTGATGTAAATTTGAAAAATGGCCTGGCAGAGAAAAAGGAAGGGAGACAGAGAGAGAGGGAGAAAGAGAGGAAGGGAGGGAAGCAGGGGGAAAATTCAGAGTGGAATGGGAAAGGCAAGAAAACTGGAAGGAACACATTTTAAAGCCCATGCTTATCTATCGTATCCCAGCAGCCAAACAAAGCAGATCCATAATGGAAAAGAAATGTAGTTCTTTTCTAAGAACATTCTGAAATCAACTTCAAACTCAAAACATAAGAAACTGCAGTCTGAGAACAAATATCACAATGCTCACTGGACTTAAAAACACCTACTACTGAGACTGGGTACTCAATGGGTCAATGCTCTTCAGAGCTCATTCTTAGATATCATCTGGCAGAATACTATAATCAGGCCTCAACCATCAAGTGGAGGCCAAAGTGCCTCTCTTACTTGGTATGGACCTGCTGTGGGAGCACACAAAATCACCTGGGTATCTCCAAGTACAAGAGGATTCTGCTAGCATCAAGATGCAAACAGGTAGAATGGCAGAAGAACAAGGCTGGCTACTGAGGGTTCCCTTCTGATGCAAAGAGTTTAAAAGATCTGCACAAAAGAGTTAAGTAAAGGAATGAGAAGAGGAACTGTAATACCAAAGATAGAAGACATTCCTCCCAGAGGAAAGAAAGGAAGCAGACTTCAAAATGGTGCCACAGGGTAATGCTGCCAAAGTTTCACAAACTGTGCTCTGTCCCTAAGGACAAACACCTCAAGGTAAAAGGAAAAGCAGCTCTCTTTTTATCATTTCCCCCTAATGATTTTTAAAACCCCAAACCAGACTCTCACACCACTGAACCGTCATAGGTGAGATACAGGGAGGAGAAACAAAGGCTAAGAAGCAGGAGTGATGCTGAACCCATGAAACCTCTGTATCTCTTCCCTAGACTTCCCAGCCAGGCAGTTGTTGATAAGCTGATATCCGTTTGGGATAAATTTAAGGGGGCTAGGGGGTGGTTCACAATAAACAACCAGAGAAGCCAGAGTTTTCCTCTATGGGCTGCTTAGCACTACAGAAATACACCAAGGGCCTTCAATCTAACCTGTACAACTAACTGGGCAGGGGACAGGAAATAGGAAAAAGAAATGGTCAGATGAGCTCATCTTCCCATCATTCGGCACCCAGAGGAAGAGGGGACTGGGGACTAATGCGGGCTGCTAGTACTGCTGCTCTGTCTCTTCGCTGTTGATCCTGTTGGCCAATCAGGTTCACATAGATGTCAGCTTTGCTGTTTTTCTTCAAATCTTTGCAGGAAAGTCAGATGTCCATCTCAAACTGAGCATCATCCCCAACTGCATGCTTCCTGTCATGATTGTTCAAATTGTTCAAATTGTTTACTTCTACTTTGGAGTCTTCGATTAAGGTGCCAGGACTGGTGACTCCAGGGATATTGGGCAGATGGCAGGGCGGGGTCTGAGCCATGGGAGAGTTGCGCCGATGCAACAGAAACTTTCGATCATAAATGATTCGAGTTCCTCCTGGCGTGGTGGAGAAGAGCGTCCCCCCGGGCGTGGTGCAATAGTCATGAGGTAGCTGCGCGGCGTCGCTGATGGGCACGATGCGGGTGGGAATGGCGCGGCTCTGGCGGGGCTGGTGGCCGCTTCCGGCAGACGAGGACATGGCTCTAGGCGCGGGCTCTCGGCTTTGTCCGGCGGGCAGGCGGCGGCGGCGGCGGGGCCCGGGCTGCTCTGGCTCCTCCCGCCGGCGGAAGGGCGCGCTCCGCTCGCTCCTCGCTCGCTTCCCCTCGCTCTCTCGTCCCGCTCCGCTCCCGCCGCCGCCCTCTCAGCCGCCGCCGACGTCGCCGCCCGATCCTCCGGCCTCCGCCAGCAGCCTCAGCAGCAGCAGCAGCGGCCTCCTCCTCCTTTTCTAGCCACACCCTTTGTCCCACAGCTGGATCAGGGCAGGGGTAGGACGCCTGGAACTCAGCACTAGTCAGGTCCCTCTGAAGTTTGTGCTCTCAGGATATTCCCTTTGGGCCACGATCAAGCCCTGAGTAGTTGATCCTCCCGTCACAGAGATCAGAGCTGTTGGTCTGTGATGAGCAAATAGGAGAACTTTCCTGCACCGCCTTCAGTATGGTGGTGGGTGTCTCTCTTGTCCTCTTCCGTGGGAACTTGCCTCTGGACTCTGTCTTTAGCCCCTTCCAGCGCCCTGAAAGGTGCTGAAGTGATGAGGCAAAGCCTGGAGCAGTCTCTTTCCTGCTTCAGTGGTAAGGGAGCGCCTGGGGCAATAATGTTTCCTTGCTGCTTTTCCAAAGGAAAACTTCTGTCCATTTTGGAAAAACAACGGTGCTCTGTTTCTGCGACCCGGGAAGAGCCAGGGACAAAGTGGAGAAGCTGCAGCAACTGCTGTTGCACAAGGGGCCTGGCCACGTGCTCACGAGCCCCACTTAGACAGTCTCTCCCAGCGTTTTCTTGCCAGGGCGGGTTTGTAGATTTAAAAAAAAAGAAGAAGAAAGAAAAGAAAGAAAATGATGCTCGGCTTCTGCATCCCGGGAATCGCTAGGGTCCAAGCCCAGACGCTGTGGCACCAGCTGCTGCACCAGGAGAGCCCTGGCCGTTAGCTCCCTAGCTCTCACTCAATCAACCACTCACACGCCCACTTGCTCCCCAGCACATACACAAAGTTTTCCATACACTCACTCACTCACACGGGGACTCGCATAGTCTGACTGGCTTGGCTGCCATCTTCCCCCAGCGAATATCTCTTAAAATGTGTATACCCTTTTTTGGCACCCCTGTATGTCTCTAATAGATGAGGTAAGTCTACATGCTTTGCATTTTCACTGCGAGTGTTTATTTATTTATTTATTTTTATTTTAAAGATGTGGGGTACAATTCAGGGTGAGGTATACAAATGTTGATTATGTAGGTACCCTAGTTGATGAGGTGTGTCCCTCTCTCCCCTAGCAGTTTTCCTCAACTGCTAATCCCACCCTCCCTCCACTCGCAGTTTCCCACTACTGCCAATCCCTTTCTAATTGTATTATGAAATTGTTCAAGGTCTGCTTATGAGTGCGAACATATGGTACTAAGAGTGTTTTTTCTGTCATTGGCAGAGTTTACATTCTGCAAACAGGTTTGAAGAGCACTGACAAATTAGCTACAATGAGACTTATAATTCATGAATAAGAAATGTTTCTCTTAAATACTCTTGAATAAAGCGTTGCTGTTTATATTTGTGTATCTTTTGATAGATTTATTCCGAGGATTTGAAATGTTATGCTCATGTTTATGGTATTTCTGTCTTTATTGCATTTTTAAGCATTAATTGTGGTATGTATAAACACAAATGTTTAAAATAGTTTTTATCTAATAATTTTGCATGTCTCCTTTATTCATATAGTTTATATTTTCTATTGCCTGATTGCTAGGATGTCCAGTATAATTTGGAGTGCAATGCACAGGGCAGATATGCAGGTGTCCTCTCTTTCCCCGCCGGATCCACACTCCATGAGCCCTCCCAGTTCCATGTCCTGGAAACTGTGGTGTGTCCTGCCTGACCTTCACAGGCAACCTTCCTGTCTCGCTTCCAGCTGGGTTTGGCTGATGAGGCCTTCATGACGGCAGACAGGGATGGAGGAGCACTGATTGGAGGTATTTGTCCCCCAGCTCCCTCCTTGCATTATTGACACAGGGAGAAATGAGACATGATTGACTTGGATCCATTGATATGGGTTCTCTCACCCAGTATCTCAGACTAAAAGTATTGTTTTGAGCCCCTAAGAGTGACATTGTCTGCTGGGTTAACTAATTAAAACCTGAATTCAACTGTGGCCTAAAACAGCATTTCCCACACTTGTCTGTACTTTAAATCACCTGGGAGATATTAAATAGTCCCAAACCCAGGTCACACCTCAAACCAATACAATCTGATTCACCAGACTTGGATTCCAGGTACCAGTAGCATGGAAAAACTCCCCAGGTGATTACCATCAGCAGTCAATGTAAAGATCAGTGGCTCAGAGCAGTGGTTTTCAATATATGGTATGTTTCAAAATCATCTGAAAATTTTGGTGAAACTACAGAGGCCCACATACATGTACTATCTTAGTTTAATACACTTGAGCCCTTAATATTTTTTTTTTTTTTAAGTGAAACAGGATCTGGTTCTATTGACCAGATTGGAGTACTGTGGTGCTATCACAGCTCACTGCAACCTGGAATTCCTGGGCTCAAGCAATACTCCTACCTCTGCCTCCCTAGTAGCTGGGAATGCAGGTGCACATCACCACACTTGGCTAATTTTTTTATTTTTTAGAAATGGGGTCTCACCATATTGTCCAGGTTGGTCTTGAATTCTGGCCTCAAGTGATTTACCCACCTAGGTCTCCCAAAGGGCTGGGATAACAGGCCTGAATTTTTAAAAATCAAGTCTCCAGATTTTGCTGTATACAACAGTTTGTGAAAACCACCACCTTATTATCAATTAAATCTATGTCACAGTTACTTTGCAGAGGAAGGTGTCTGAAAGCAGCTCAGAGAGATGGGGATGTTTAAATATATCCTTTATCTGCAACCTCCTTTACAATCTCCTACCCATATCTCTTGGAGGCCTGAGAGGATGCTTCCCTAACCAAGGCAGTAGATGCTACTTGACATTTACAGGTATAAAAACTGATAGGTCTTCTGGGACGTCACTAATCTTGAGTCACTGGTATTTAGAAATTCTAACCCAGTAGCAATAATGTCAGAGCCTCTCCCACAATTGAGGGGAAGACTGGTGCCTTTGAGAAACAAACATACATATATATATATATATATATATATATATATATATATATATATACATATATATATATATATTTTTTTTTTTTTTTTTTTTTTGAGTTGGAGTCTCACTCTGTCGCCCAGACTGGAGTGCAGTGGCCGCTCCCGGTCACCACAGCCTCGACCTGCTGGTCTCCGGTGATCCTTCCACCTCAGCCTTCCAAGTAGCTGGAATTACAGGCATGCGCTACCACGCCCGGCTGATTTTTTTGATTTATTGTAGAGATGAGGTCTCGCTGCCCAGGTGGGTCTCAAACCCGCGGGCTCAGGCAATCCACTCACCTCAGCCTCCCAAAGGGGCGGGATTACAGGCTGAGCCATCAAGCCCGGCTGCCTATTTCTTGATGGGTTATTTACATGAACGATCTGCTGACACAATGCTGTGATTGGAAGTTTTTAACCATAGACAGCATAATTCTCTTGCCCTACCCTCCCTATTCACCTGCGTTGACCAGACCAGAGAGACTCTTTTTGTTTCCCCAGATGAAAATAGTCCTAAAGAGAAACTTTTTGCTGATGTGGAGGGGGTGAGGGGTGGGGCGGAAGCCCTAAAAGGCACCCAAACCGATGAGTTCAAAAACTGTTTTGAGCAGTGGAAAAAGCATCTTGTATTGCTCCAAAAGGTGAGTACTTTGAAGGTGACAATGTTGCCATTGTAACATTATAAGGGGGTGGGAGCTTTAAGAGGTGATTAGATCATGGAGGCTCTGTCTTCTTGTTTAAGTTTATTATAAATTACCCAGAGTGTGGTATTCTGTTACACCAGCACAAAGCAGACTAAAACACACAGTATTTGTCAACATTCATCTGTCAACAAATACTTAAGTTGTTTCTATGTCCTGGCTACTGTGATTAATATTGCAATAAACATAGGGGTACAGATATATCCTTGAGATACTGATTACATTTTCTTTGGATATATGCCCCGAAGAAGGATTGCTGGATCATATGGTAGTTTTGTTTTTAGCTTTTGAGAAATGTCCATTCTGTTTTCCATAATGTCCATTCCAATGTACTTTTCTACCCACAGTGTACAAGAAAATAGTTTTAAATTTAAGAATATTCACAAAGTTGCCGTACATCTCACACTCAGATTCCTCTTCTGTCAACACTTCACATTACTATGGTACATTTGCCACAGCAAATGAAGCAATATTGATACATTATTATTAACTAAACTGCAAAGTTTATTTGGGTTTTATTAAAATTAGACTGATGTCCTCTTACTGAAAAGCATTTCTCTAGTGATAAATGATGTTAAGCATCTTTTCATGTGCTTATCAACTGTAAATCTTCCTCGGTGAGGTGTTTGTTCAGATTTCTTGCCCATTTTTAATAGAGTTGTTTGTTTTATGGTTGAGTTATACAACTCTTCATATATTCTGGATACAAATGCTTCATCAATTATTTGATTTGCAGATAATTTCTCCAAGTCTGCATTTGAGATCTTTTATTGAATTTTAATGTGTAGATTTCATTTTCAGGAAAGAAATGATAAATTTCTAACTCACAGTTTCTTAGTAGTTGACTTCAATGACTAGGGAATGGGAATGGGAGGAAGATGGCAATGTAACACATTTATCTTTCTATGTCCTTAAATATGTTTTCAAGTTTCTTGTGTGTGTATAGTTTATCTACTCAAACCATCCATTATTCTCATAAAACATTTCGTAGATTCTGTCCACATTATGCTTTTAGACTGAGATTCTGGCCATTTATTCTAGGGCTAATAATCTTTTTCCTGAGCTATTTTTCTCTGATTTTTCCATATCTGTAGAAGGTAGAATATAATATATGGATAAATCCTCTCACTAAAATCAGCTGAAATGCTATGTTAAATGCAAAAACCATCTTAAATGTATCAAAGAGTGATTGTGAGAAATGACCATGCTTTCAAAATAAGGGGGAAATGTTCCTTGCCTCCATAGAGTATAGGAACATGGTAGGTGAAAAAAGGTTCCCTAAGTTCATTGCCCCAAAGCCAAGCGTGGAGGCTTACCATTTCCAGTTCCTTGCCTTTGGTTTTGCCAATCTCATGTGAGGGGGACCTGTTGGGAGTTCCAATCCCTGGGTAAGT